GTTTGAGGTTGCTGTGAGCTATGATGCCCCAGCACCTACCTAGGGCGAAAAAGTGAGACTCTTTCTCAAAAAAGAAAAAAAAGGCACATGCCATTGGGCATGATGATTCTGTCCTGTCACATCACATTCAGTGAGTGATCTCCCTATTCACTCCCTGTTTTTCTTATCTATACTGAGGAGTCAATATCACCACCTTTGCTTTTCTTGTTATCTTCTCAAATCCCCACTACTTGCTAATTGTTTTACATCACAATTACCACCTAATGTACCCTGGCTTGTCACGGACTGGGGAACCAACCATAGGATATAGTGTTACACACGCCCAAACTTAGCATTACCTTTTTACCAGTTAACTGTTCCTGTTCTGAAGCTAAGAGTACGATACACTTTGGTCAACTGGTATGTGCAAATCTTTTACTTCCTAAAATAATTATTCTCTTTTCCTATAGGTCCAGACCTTTGTTGCTATAACCTGTAGTACCCTTGTGCTAGTCAATGTCAGTAGCATGAAATCATTATGAGCTGTGCAGTGTGTGTGTCAGAGCTCTGTTGTTTGGGAGTGAGGTGCTGGAAATAGGAATGTGAGAATTCCTCCTCTAGACCAGCAAAGCAGCAGAAGCCCCCAGAGTTAAAGGACTTCTTTTCTTGGTGTGAGCTGATGAAACCTCTTGTTCTGGCTGTTAATGTTCGTTTTCAGGGAGATACAAAGAAATGGAATATACCCCTTAAATAACTTACTACTTTCTTAAACAAAAGGAAAATAACAAATTTTAAAATTACAAATAATTAATGCCACAAGACTATGTATTAGAAAGAAATTAATTCTATGATTAACTTCCTACAGATGTTCAGAGGAGGAAGAGACTGGGTTGTCTGGAGCTTTGAAAGATGATAATGTTTAGACTCATAGAGATGGGGTAAGGGGTAAATCACAGTGGAGCTGTGTTGCCTAGGACAGTATTTTACCCACATGAAGCTGATGGTGCCAATGCGTTATCCTCATAATCTGTCAACACTTTGTATTATGTTAAGTCCTTGGGGGTGAAAATCTTCAGAAAACACCTTGAAAGATACGGTAATCTCAACTCCAAAGAACCAAGAAGGGAGAAATATCACCAGGAAAAGAATACAGGGGAAGCAGATGATATATGCCTATTATTTTTGTTTAAGAATGTTCTACGTGTAGTTAGAGGAAACACCAAGATTATTATATATGAAGTTTAAAATGTAGGATAGCACTAAAGAAAGATTTATAAAAATAACAGAATGCCAAATACCTTTGAACATAAACTTAACTGTTTTTAAATTTGAGAATAAATATTTCTCAAAAGAGAAGAAACTTGTTTGCCAAGTTTTAGTCAATGGGGACTGGGGGCTCCAAACTATGATTGAAATTAGCGTTGGACAATTGCTTTTACTCCCATTGTTCTTTAAGCCAGTAGAAGTTTTGTGTGAGAGCAAATACATAAGACAAAAAGCAATGTGGTGAGAGAATGAGCTGTGCTTTGGTTATCTCCCTGTTGATTCTGATCATTTCAACACATCTAAGATTTCACTGATGTAAAATAGCATTTTAAACTGATATCTCTCTGCTTTTTCCAATTTCACTGCCTTACCTGAACGCATAGGGCCAGTTAGCACGAACTTAACTCCAAGTGCCTGGCAATGCTGCCTCCGTGTCAATGACTCAGTTTCCAGACATTTGTAGTTCATAACTCAGTATGACAAAGAGCAGTTGTGGGAAAGTCATCCCCTCCTGGATAAACGTCATAATTCCTCATTTCTAATCCAGCAGAAGTACCCAGTTACTCATTTCTTTTTAGTACTAGTCTTGTGTGATTTGAAGTACTGCCCTAAAAAAAGAAGTTCTGTCTTCAGAATGGCTTTATTTCCAAGTTAGATAAACTTTTTTCCTGATATCTTCTTTGCTTCCTTCCTTATTTCTTCCTAAGAAAACTATAACAGCATTTTTCATCATTTTGGTTATGGGCACCTTTGAGTCACAAACCTTCTCCTCAGAAAAATATGCATATTTGTAGACAAGACTCTACGAACTTTCAGGGAGTTCCTGGACCTCCCTGAAGTTCATCCATGTATTCAGAAGAGATCTGTGAAGTCCGGGTTCAAAGCTCCTGCCCTGGCGCCTGGTCAGTCTTCACAGGTTGGTTGGTTGGGTCACTCCTTCATCAAAGAAAAGGGCGATTCCAGGCAGGGGGCTTTCTCAACAGCAGGGTAAATGGAATGACCTCAGTGTGCCCACTCCATGCCCACATGCAGTTTCCTTACCCAGTCACTGTGCCTGTTAATCTCTGAACTGGCTGAACCAGAGAGCTACTTAGGCTTTGGGACCCTATTTATTTGCACAATTTCCCATATCCTCCCTTCTTAACAAGGAAAGAGGGCCCTGAAGTGAATTTGACTTGTGACAGTGAGTTCTCCAGCTCCAAATTTGGTCTAGTTTGAAAATTCTGAACTAGGGATTACTTATGCAACTCACTAATGCTAATCACTGTTATTACAGGGAGGCAGCTCTGAAAATGTCATCTATAGTTCAGCAGCAGGAATATAGCTCTAATGACCCTCCTAGATGGTTTGGATATGACAGTGAAGGCAAGACTCTTAAGGTGAATCAGGAAATGAAACCACCTAAATCATCTCAAGACGCCGGAGAGATGACAGTGAAAAGGTCCATAGTCAGTAATGAAGAGGAAGAAGTATGATCTTCAACCTCAAGCAGGAAGAATGAAAAATCTAGAAGTTGGCAACTTTTTCTGCTTGTGATGCAAGTATTTCATTACCTGGATCTCAATAACAATATAAACAGGCAACAAGTCATCTTCTGATTCTTATCCCACCTACATGTATTCCTCACATCGTTAGTTCTTCTGTCTAAATGATCCTTATTAAAAAAGAAGTCAAATCAAGCACTATACTGTGATGTAAATTTTCTACCTAAATTTAACTTCATCAAACCAAAAGTTTCCATGAGCTTATCAAATCTAAAGTTACAGGCATGTGAAACAACACCGGGAAATGTAACTTTTTGGAGAAAGAATTTAGAAGGAAAAAGAAAGCATACATGGCCCCAAGACATCTTGGCTCTAAGTCAAGGATTTTGAGCCAGGATGGTGACATTAGGATCTGTGAAGCTTTATGATAGGGAACATAAACATATATTTTCAAAGGAAACAGGGCTTTCTTGTCATTTCCAGACATTTAACAAAAGAGAACTAACTGTGTATTGACCCTAAATTCATGTCAACATTTGACTTAACAGTGAGGGGAAAATTAAATAGAAACAGTAACTATCTGTAAATAGAAAGACATCTGCAATGTCTCAGAAATATCTCTTTTTAATCAAATTTGCACTATGGAAGGATTTTTAAACTATGCTATGACAAAAAAGATGTTCCTTCAATTTTATGCTAGAAAGTATAGGCTATTAGTTGCTTGTCTACTTTTTTTTTTAAATAAGCCTTCAACCATAGATTTTTATCATTATTTGATATTATGTAACACTGATGTTGACAAGTATCCAAGACAAAGCACAACCCTATTCTGACTGTCACAAACAAGCTGTGTCAGTAATGTTACATCAGTCTTTCACTGTCCTCAATTACTTATCTCTTACTTGGGGCTAATCCATTTTCGTATCTTACAAATTTGAAATAAGGATAAAAACTTAAGGTATATGAAAGTTCTTTTGAAAAGTTTTGAAAGGGCTGTACAAAGTATCATTATACGGTACTTTGTATTAGCTGAATGCTTTTAACATTAATAGCTCTAGGCCTAGCATGGTGGCTCATGCTTGTAATCCTAGCGTTCTGGGAGGCTTGAGCTCAGGGGTTCAAGACCAGCCTGAGCGAGAGTAAGACCCTGTCTCTAAAACTAGCCAGGCATTGTGGTGGGTGCCTGTAGTTCCAGCTACTTGGGAGGCTGTGGTAAGAGGATCGCTTGAGCCCAAGAGTTAGACCTTGCTGTGAGCTGTGATGCCACTGCACTCTACTGAGGATGACAAAGTAAGACTGTCTCAAAAATATATATTAATAGTTCTCTCCCCCTTAGTTTCATTTTGAAAGTTTCTAAACAAGGTAATATCATGTAGGTGTGGAAAGGTTCCTGGGAATGGACATGCAGGCAGGGGAATCAGTTAGTAGGAGTTTTAAGACCTAAGCCAAGAGACTTAAGATGACTGTTAAAATAGCTAAAACAATTTTTAATTAAATTTGGAGATTTCTGGCTGCTGCATAGAAGTTGGCTTCAGAAGTCTGTCTGCAAGTGTCTCATGTACACAACTGGAGAGGCCTATAAAAGAGGCCACTGCTTTCCAAGGGAATAATGTCTGTACAGGGAAGAACAGCTATGGGGCACACGCCCTATTCTGTGCTCCAGAAACGCAGCAGGCTGCTTTACTGTCAGAGGTGTGCTCCAGAACTCTCTGAGCAACATCCTCTTTTAAACAAAAAGGAGAAACACATTCATTCATTTTGGGGAGAATTTTGTAGCTACATCAATACAAGGAATAGGTGTTAGAAAAAGTGAGCTGTGAGAGGAGGCCCAGAAGTGGACAGGAAGAGAAATCTCCAAGTTCTCAGGGCAGAATACTCAAAATATCAAAGCTATTACTAAGATCTTCACCCCTTTAGTATCTGTATACATGAGTCTGTGTCTAAGAGTAAAATACAGCAGCTTTTCCTTTCTGTTTGGGACTTACTGAGATCCAAATAAGTACAATTCCACTAATAACTTTAAAAATAGTTGACCGCTGCTAAGCTCATGATCTTTAGGACTGTAGCTGGCTAATTTCATCAACTTTATTTTTAGTCACGAATATATTTATATTATTGCGTGAGGGTGAAAAAAGATTATAAAAATGGTCTCATTGCCTCAGAGTTTTCTCTATTTAATAGTATAACACCCATATCACAACCATACCAAATATACAATATGTGAGTATCTTTCATACTTGACAACATTCTTATTTCATGAAGGATGAGCAAAGCTTTTTGTTTCATAAATATGTAAAAAGAGAACTCTAAAGAAATGGAATATTAACAAAAAGGAGACTATTACAAATCACAGTATTGGAAATGCTTTTTAAAAATCAGTGTTTAAAAATGATTTTATAGGCCGGGCGCAGTGGCTCACACCTGGTATTCCTAGCACTCTGGGAGGGCAAGGCGGGTGGATTGCCTGAACTCATGAGTTCAAGACCAGCCTGAGCCAGAGCGAGACCTGGTCTCTAAGAAAATAGCTGGGTGTTGTGGTGGGTGCCTGGGTCTTAGCTACTTAGGAGGCTGAGGCAAGAGAATCGCTTGAGCTCAAAAATTAGAGGTTGCTATGAGGTATGATGCCACAGCACTCTACTGAAGGCAACAAAGTAAGACTGTGTCTAAAAATAAAAAAAAGACTATGTCTCAAAAAAAAAAAAAAGAATTGATTTTATATTAATCATAAAAATTATAATCCAATAGATAGGTGTATTCAGTGTTGTATAATAAATGTTCCTAGAGTAGCAAGTTAGCAATGAAATTTATAAAATAACTATATACAGTATGCCATTATAAAAGCGAAAATCTATCTTCATACATTGGGCTGTAAAATAGATGAAGGTTTCTTTCCCCCTAATGAGATATTTCTGAATTACACAAAAGATATTAAGAATCAGTAGCAACTGCTTCACATTTATAAGTTTTTTATTCACAGCTTAAAGTTACATTGGTGACATAATGTATATAGAGCAGAAAACCTGTCACATGAGAGTTATAGTACAAAGAATTCTAACATAACTCCTCCCTCCTATCCCCCCACACTGATGCCTTGTATAATCTCTCCTTGAATGGGAGTGGAAATTATACATATGATGAGATAAAGAGATAGCACTCCCCAAATTATGTTACATTATATGGCAAAACAGTGATTATCCTGGGTGGGCCTGACCAAGTCAGCCCTTTAAAGGCAGAGATTTCTCCAGCTGCTTACAGAAGTAGTCAGACATTCAAAGCATGAGAAGAACTGAATGTTATTATTGCTGGCTTGATACAGCAATATAGGTGGCCTCTAGAAGGCTAGACTGATTGCTGGCTGATGGCCAGCAAGAAAATGGAGAGTTCAGTCATACCCAGTCACAAAGAACTGAATTTTGCTAATTAAATGAATGACTTTGGAAGCAGATTTTTCCTCAAAGCCTCCGCAGCTCCGCCTGGCTGACACGTTCATTCCAGCCTTGCCATACCCTGAGCAGAGAACGTAATTATGCTAAGCTCTTGACCTACTGAACTATGTGGTAAGTGGGTATTATTTTATATCATTAAATTTGTGGTGATTAGAAAACAATAGAAAAGGAATACAATAGCTAGGTACAAATTTTGAAGAAGCCCTCCTGAAACAATTAACCAGTATTCATTCTTATTTTGTTATTATTAACATTTATAGGAACAGCAGACCTTGCATTTTTGCCCTCAAAGATCTGCCAATTATTGTTAAAAATCATAACGATAACTCGAACCAGACTTAGTCCTGCAGTTTCAGGGACTGAAACCAGCTTTGCTTTCTAAAACTTACAGTGCCTTTTGGGGCATCAGCCTTAATCCATTTTTCATGTTTGTTTGCTTGATTCATGAGTCCTAAAATGCAAAATTGCATAAAGTTACACCAAGAGTAATATTTGACCACATAAATCCCAAAAATACATCTCTAAAACCTAGAAACACCTTAGAACACAAAAAATCTTAGCATAGATAGTTGGAGTTGGGAAAAGAGTTACAAAGGGGCTATCTGGGCTTGCCCCTCCTTTCATTTGCTCAGCTCTACTCTGAGAGGGGAGCTACTCTGTTTTTTATTGTTTCAGGATGAATATCTCTTACTTGAATTGCTTGGGACCAGAACTGTTTTGGATTTCAGATTGACTTGGATTGTAGAATATTTGCAGAATACATACCACTTGAGGATCCCTCATCTGAAAATCCAAAATCTGAAATATTCCAATAAGCATTTCCTTTGAGTGTCATGTCGGCATTCCAAAAGTTTTGGGTTTGGGAGCCTTACAGGATTTTCAGATTAGGGATGCTTAACCTACATGATTTTTTTAGCGAAGGCTCTTAAAAAAGAACTTTATTGAAGCATAGCTGACGTCTTTAAATATATATATACGTCTTTAAAATATATAATGTAATAAGTTTTGATATATGTGAAAATCTATGAACCATGTCCTCTGTCAAGATAGGGAACATATCGTCATGCCCCAAAGCTTCTTTGTACCCTACTGTAATCTCTTCCTCATGCCCCTCCCTGCCTGTTGCCCTCCGACCCCTAACCCCTAGCAATCACTAATCTATTTTGTTTCTATTTCTATTTTATATAAATGGAATCATAAATGATGTACTCTTTTTCTAATAATCTATCTTCTTTCTATAGGGACCAAGACTGTCTTAAGATTTCCTGAAAAAAGTCAACTCACAAAAGACAATTAATTGGAGAAAAGGCATACAATTTTTCTTTTTTTTTTTTTGGATAGTTTCATTTTGTCACCCTCGGTAGAGTGCCATGGTATCGTAACTCACAGCAACCTCAAACTCTTGGGTTCAAGTGATTCTCTTGCCTCAGCCTCCCAAGTAGATGGGATGATAGGCACCCACCAGAATGCCCAGCTATTTTTAGAGATGGGGGTCTTATACTTGCTCAGATTGGTCTTAAACTTCCAAGACCAAGCGATCCACCCTCCTTGGCCTCCTAGAATGCTAGGATGGCATAGAAATTTAATGGATGTGCACCAGTGAATACCCAACTCCCCAGTGAGGTGCAGAAGCTTATATACCATATCTTGAGGTTATAGAAAGAATGGAGGCTCAAAGCATGGCCCAAAGCAGGCTATGGTGTCACCACAGGTTATCATAGCAAGACAGATTATGGAAAGGAGGGAAGAAAAGACTTGCTAGCAGAGCAAGCAAGTCTATGGTCTTGTGTAGATCTGAGGTCCCCAACCCTGGGCTATACTGGTTCCTAGTAGGTTAGGAACCAGGCTACTCAGTAGGAACTAAGAGGTGGACCAGCAAGGAAGCGTCACCTGTATTTATAGCTGCTCCCCATAGCTTGCATCACCACTTGAGCTCCGCCTCCTGTCACATCAGCAGCAGCATTAGATTATCATAGGAGCATTGGACCCTACTGTAAGCTGTGCACATGAGGGACCTAGGTTGCTCTTCCTTATAAGAATCTAATGCCTAATGATCTGGGGTGGAGCTGAGGTGGTGATGCCAGCATTGGGGAGCTGCTGCAAGTACAGATTATCATTGGCAGAGAGGTTTGACTGCATGAAGACCATAGGAACTCAATTGCTTGCAGATTCATATCAAAACTACCCAATACCCGTATCTGTGGAACACCAGTCCCTAGTGCCAAAAAGGTTGGGAACTGCTGATGTAGATGAATGCTTACAGGCAGCAGCTCACAGAGAGCTGTAAATGTTTCTCTCAAGCCTTTAAAGGTGTCAGACTCTCAGTCAATCTTTCTTAGATCAGGACAGGGAAAGACCTAGCAGCATCAATGCAGAATTTTCTGAGATATAAATTTCTCCCACAAAAGACAGCTTTGCAAGACTACTGCTGTTTGCAGGCTCTCTGACAGCCATCTCAAAATGCGATAAAGAAATATGTTTTGTGGTAAAATATTTTCTTGTCCTTCATTTCACTTAGCGTAATTATTTTGAGGTTCATCCACATCGTACATGTGTCAAGTGATTTCCTCACACCCGTGTGGACTGGTACTTTGCTGGATGCTCGTGAGCACCCTGAGACCCCACTTTGTACCCTCCCTCCTCTTGTGAACTCTGGACAGCTCGGGTCTCCCCAGGAGCTCAGCTCAAGCTCCCCACTCAGGGGTCTGCTGGGCTCTGCCTGTGTGACCACTCCCTGCCCTGCAACCTAGACACTCTTTAAAGGACATAGTCTTTGGCAATCAGAGCTCACCTCTTCCTAGCCCTGTGCGTCTGTGTTCTCTGTCGATCAAGGTAATTAAGGTGTTACATCTCTGGAGCTCCACTGCAGTTAAAAATCAGTCAAATCTGAACTGAGGAGGGTCGTTGCCATTCATCACAGACATTTACCTTGTTGAGTCCAAGCACACAAATGAGAGAATGATCCTCTTTTCAAGTATAGTTTTTCCTTTGTAGTACTATGTGGCAGTCTTAGCTAGGAAAAGTGCTTTGTATTACACCGGTGGTTCTCAACCTTCCTAATGCCACAATGTATTTTCATTGTTAAAAAGGGACTGAGACCCACAGGTTGAGAACCGCTGTATTACACCATCTGACCTTGTGTCAAGTGCTTTTCTGATGCAAATTCTTTTATGGATTCTTGCTTTCCTCTTCTTTCTGAGCCATAGTCTTGTACCATCTGGAGCTCACTGCATCTTACTCAGAACACAGCTGAGTACTCAATCACTCCCTCTGGGGTTTTACCTCTTTCTCTTGCTATATTTTCAGTATCATCACAACCTCACTTATTAGCTTTGATTAACTGGTTGAAAGCTCTTGCTCTAGTTGGTAAATCCTTGTGTTAGAAACTTCTTGTTCCTCTAACTCTTCATCAAGAAGGGGTTCAGTTCTGTGCCTCTGCTGTATTTGGTAGGTCAGGATTTTGAGGTACCTTGCATCCAGTAATTTTTCTGTAATACAGACTTTCTTTTTCTAGTATGAGACAGAACAGTGCCCTAGGGCCGCCAAGCATGGAAATAAAGGAAAATCTTGAGTCCTTTCAGGGCAAGTTTGGGCACTCTGGCAAGTATAGAAAAGTGAAAGGGCAACCTGGGGAGAACAATGGGCTTCCAAGTGAGCCAAGTCAAGGGGCCTTTTGCTTTCCTATGGGAACTAAAAGGTGAGCCTCTTAACACGAATTCTTGAATTGTTTTCCAGAACCCCTCATGGGACGGAAAATACAGATGAGGGGGAACTGAAAAATTGAACTTCAACCACCATTCTTTGTTCTAAATTTCCCCAACAGCCTGCCCCACCCATCTTAACTTTCCTTTCTGCTAATCCAAGAATTTGTTAACCCACCTAGAACCCGTAAGTCCCCCACTTCAGGATATCATGGCTTTTTAAACCAGGCCAATGTATATACTCCATGTGTTGATTCAGAATTTTGCCGGCCTTTCAAAACCCTGGGTTGTAAGCCACTGGGGAATTTGGGTCTCAAGCATCAGCCACCTGTACTCTTTGCTTGGTGCCAAGCAATAAAGTTCCCTTTTTATCCTGCTGTAACTCTGGCCGCAGTATCTGGCTTTACTGCACCAGGCGAGCAAACCCTAGATGCGTTTGGTAATAATAATTCAAATAAATGTGGATGATCATGCCACTGCACTCTAGCCTGAGTGACACAGCAAGACCCTGTCTCAAAAAACCCCAAACCCCAAAAAACCATGGAGGAAAGAACTAGAAATCCTGAGCTCTCTCTTGTTACTCTTTTTCCTTTTTTACACCATTTAGCTCCAATAACTAAGCACCAGTAACAGTAAAGCTTTTCTAAATATCTGAGATCACTTCCTTAATCTATTACTCGTCACCTCCCCAATCGAGCATTTCTTATGCAGAGAGTGAGAAGCTTATCCACCCATTTCCTTCTGCAGCAACAGAGGCCGAGCATGTGCTGCTACTCCTGACAAAATGAACATACAGGCAATGTCCGCTTGAAGACAAACCTCAAAAGGCAGGACTGTTTATAAAATTCCATTTAGGTTCCTTGAAAATAGCTTTCTCCTAATTCACTGAAAGTTCTTTGTACTGTGGCATAAATCTGTGGGGACTCTAAATTTGTAAAGTTTATAAAATCCTTTCTACAAAAATCTTGCGACATATATTGCAATGTCAAGTTCAAGAAAACTTGTCCCTTACTTTCTTCCTTTTGCCACTGAACATCAGATAATGTTTCTTTGACTGAGATTGAGAAAATGACTACTCTATCCCTTCCATTACCTGAGAGGAAAGGTTACCTAGGACATGGGTTTAACTCTGTAATTTGCTCCCTAAATCCCTGTCCAAATCTATCGACATATGAATCTCTACATTCTTTCCATTTAACCCAAAATGTACCTTCTCTAATCAACACTATCTATCAACAAAGGTAGGACTCCAGGGAGTAATATGCAGAATTTAATTCTCTTGTGTAAAAACAGGATTTAAAAAATAGGATGAAAAGCCTTCTTGGTAAAGTGAGCTTCTTCTTGCCTCCCTCCCTACTCCCACTTTTAACCTGATAACCAGAGGGGGTTATAAATCAATGATTTACATCTGGTTCAGAGGGTACTTGTGCTGTTGTCTTACTCCCAGTAGATTAAGTTTCAGTGCAGCAGGAGGTTGTAGGATTCCTTCTGTAAAAGCACAAACAGTACTGACAACCCACTATGGCCTGTACCATGCTAAGTATTTTGAGGATGTTTAAAAGATGTACAGATGTACCAAATGCCCTCACAAAGCTCATTAGGAAAATCACACGCTTATGAATCAACATGAAAATAATTATTCTGAAATTTTCTTATTTTTCACACCAATATTTCATAAACATAATACCACATAGGACTTCCAGGACAAAATATTTTAATTTTGTCAATATTCCTTATCTAGTCTTCTCTC